ACTGGTAATCTACTCAACTGTTGAGCTGTTTGTGGATTTTTTTTTTATTTAGTTGACTTTGAATTTTGCAGAATTTGTTTTAAGATAACTTTATTGCCATACAACAGCCAGTGTCGATGGAATTTGTTTTGGTGAGCTCACCGGCCAACACACTTAGTCATCACAAATAAACAACAAGTAACACAGATCGGCACAGTCCAATACAAACTATAAGGGCATCTACATATAGTGGTCCTAAAATGAATATACAGTACATACTGTCAGACAAAACAAAGCTTATAGTTGGTGCCGTCTCAGGTGACCCTGAGCCTTCCCTTGGTTATGCTGCTATAGGCCTAGGCTGCTAGGGGGCCCCATGATGCTCTGATCTCCTGTCCTCTATATGCCTCTATATGCCATCATTATGAGTCACCAACTGTGTGTCTCCTCTCTCCTGTAGTGTGTCTTCTCTCTCTCTCTCTCTCTCTCTCTCTCTCTCTCTCTACCTTTCTGGCACCAAAATTGAATTGAATAGTTAAAATACGAGAGAAATACAATTAGAAGCTGTGATTCTTATCAGTGACTCCAGGTTTTCAACTCAACTGTCTGTACACTGACTGTTTTCATATTTCTTTTATAATACATGTTCCTACTCTTCTTACCCTAAACGCTCCTTCAGCTGCTCCACAACTCTGCATTTTCTTGCACTTCCTCAGATGCTGCTGTAAGGCTACATAACACATGAAAGAAACATGACACCCTTCAGTGAAGAGGAAATCCTATCAGTACAGTGATGCCTTCAATATTAGTTGGTTTCTTTTTTTTTTCAAGCTTGTGGCTCAGTGGTTTTAGTGCAGTGATGCAAACAAGTACTCAAACATCTTTAAACTCCTGAAACTGTTCTGGGCTAGTTTCCACATTCAGAAATCCATTCTACAGGATCATCTGAATGAATCCTCCTATCAATTTATTTATACCAATTTATTTATTTATATCAATTCACAAACAACTAAGAAATGTTAATCACCTCCTCATGACTGTTGTATGAACACTCAGTGTTATCAATGGTAAATTTGCACAGACATTAGGTTTTAAATCTAGAATATTTGTTTGTTTTTGAATGAACAGGTTTTCTCCTCTCTTCAACTGCATGACCTCTGTGACCTGAAAGTTCTCCTGTGCCTAAAGTTTATTTTTTAATTGAGCAGCAGAAGGCAGCTCCACATCCTGCTTTCACCAAACGCCCTGCATTCACTCATCAGTTAAATTAAGTGGAAAATAAAAATGGTTTCCTTTACCATCTTTTTGCAGACCAAGCAGCAGGTCACTTCTTAATCTTAATGTGTGACCCCACCTCTGGCACCAAAGTGCACAGCTCTAATTTTCAGAAGGCCTTTGCTGAGCACATTTCTTGCATTGCATTCGTGACATTAGTCTTTCACTTGTTGCTGTTTGCCATTCAGTAAGCAGGTGTAGGGTGGAGCGGTTTCTCAGACCGGCAGTTAGTGCTCTGCCTCAACCGTCCTCCTGATATTACGTGGAGCTAAAATGTCATGTAACCAGTAGGGGAGTGAGTACTACCTATGTGTGTGCATGAGGTCAAGAGTGATATACGGGAAGAGGCCCATCGCTGTCTTTTTGTCACGCACACTGCTTGTGTGGTAACTAAAAGTGCCACTTCCATATATTAAAATATAGCAAAACCATTACTTAAAGGTAGAAATGTCTATTCTAAACTAAAGACCAGATACATTGAAAACAGCTACATTAACTGTTTTCATGTTATCATAGTTTCTCTTTTACAGCTAAATATAACATCTCACTTCCAGCCAGTTCACTGCAGAACTACAATAATACACTGCTCAAACTAATTAGGGGAACACTTAAATCACACATCATATCTTATTAAATGAAATATTCAAGTTGAACATCTTTTCTAGTGTACACTGTATATTTTGTTCAGAACAAAATGACAGAACATCGGTCAGTGGAAACCCAATTCATCAACCCATGGAGGCTGGATTCAAAATACACTGAAAATTAAAGTGAAAAATTGAATACATCCAAGTTGTGTGAATTTCATCACTACAGTTCATAATGGGTCTCAGAAGTTTGCATGGCCCCTGTGTGCCAGTATGCACTCCCAACAATGTCTGGGCATGCTCTTGATGAGATGGTGGATGGTGTCCTGGGTGATCTCCTCCTAGACCTGGATCAGGGCATCAGTGAGCTCCTGAACAGTCTGTGGTGGGCTGTGATGCCAGATGCACTGATAGATAATATCTCATAGGTTCTCAGTTGGATTTAGGTCAGGGGAATGTGAAGGCCAGTCAGTGGCATCAATGCCTTCGTCATCCAGCAACTGCCTACACACTCTGTCCACATGCGGAAAGGCATTGTCCTGCACCAGGAGGAACCCATGGCCCACTGCACCAGCATAAGGTCTGAAAGGCGCTATGAGGATTCCATCCTGCTACTGTATTTCATGGCAGTCAGGGTATCGTTGGCTATGACGTGGAGGTCTGTGCAGCCCTCCAAAGATATGCCTCCCCAGACCGTCACTGACCCACCACCAAGCCGGTCATGCTTGACGATGTTACAGGCAGCATAACGTTCACCACAGCATCCCTAGACTCTTTCAGGCCTGCCATACGTGATCAGTGTGAACCTGCTGTCATCTGTGAAAAGAACGAGGTGCAAACGAACGGTGGACTTGCCAGTTTTGGTGTTCTCTAGTGAATGCCAGTCGAGTTGCATGGTGCTCGGCTGTGAGCACAGGTTGTACTAGAGGACGTGGGGCCCTCATGCCACCCTCAGGGACTATGGTTTTGACAGTATGGTCAGAAACATGCACACTATTAGCTGCTGGAGGTCATTTTGTAGGGCTCTCACAGTGCTGGTCCTGTTCCTATCTGCACAGAAGAGCAGATACTGGCCCTGCTGCTGTCCTGGTGTAACGGATGGTCTCCTGGTATCTCCTCCATGCTCTTGAGACTGTGATGGGAGACACAGCAAATCTTCTTGGGATTGCACGTATGGATGTGCCATCTTGGAGGGAACTGGACTACCTGTACAAGGCGATAGCGACACCTTGAAGGTGCTACCTCATGCTACAAGTGGTGACAAGGACACTAGCAAAACATAAGACTTGTGAAGAATCAGTCAGGAAGGATAAGGAGAGAGCATTTGTTTGTGGCCACCACATGCAAACCCATTCCCTTTCCGGAGGTTGTCTTGCTTTTGCTTCTCCACTGCACCTGTTGTCACTTTCATTTGCAGCAAATCAGGCAAAACTGATTCACAATCGCTTGTGCTTCCTAATTGGACAGATTGATGTCCCTGAAGTCTGACTATGTGTTTTCTGTGATGATTAAGTGTAATTTTTTTGAGACGTTTGTCTTAAAATGTGAATTAGTCTTGAAGTGAGATTAAATTTCTTTGTCAGGTGAGCATTTCATTTTTGCCTGCACATTTTTTATCAAAGAAATAAAAATGACTGAATTAATCCAGACTACTTTGCCACTAAAGAGGGATGTGTTTGTGTTTTTTGTAGAATTTAAACTACAGTAGGGAAGCTGTGTGCGTACAGGGTTTCAGTCTTTAACTCCGTTTTTAAGTCCCATCATGACCTCAGCCACTAGGGAGTTGTCAGTCATCATATCAATGTGAGCATCAGTATGTCTGTATTTAATTTTAGGAAGCATGGAGAGAACTCTCAGTATCTTTATTAAATATGTAAATGTACAGAAATAATTAATCAGAAAATGTGTCAAACAAATATTGCATACTTTTGCATACTAATTTTGCATGCTATGTCCTTTTATAAGATGCAACAGTGAAGTGATGTTATGGTAAGAAACGAGGGTGAGACAGATGCAAAAGTGAGTGGTTGGATTTGCGCTGTGGATGCTGAGTAAAAGCATTCTATTGTTCAGTTATATTTGGGGACGTTTGAGAAACTGATCGAAGCAGGAGAAGCTGTGATATCCTGAGAGTTATTCACTATGAGTCAAGGCAGCCTAGTTATGTCTTTCATTTGACTCTTGCTTCTGACTTTTGTAGCTCAGGCTTTATGTTACAATTCTACACGTCCAGCTCCAGGACACAATGCTCCTCTGAAGTTATAAATGCAAGTGTGGCTCAGACCTTCAGGCTCTGTCCCCGTGACACATCACAAATCTACTGCTTGCAAGTCATTTAGGCCCGGAAGGCTCAAGAAGGCTGAGAATACTGCTGCGTGCAACGATTAGCCACCATGGCCTTTCAGGGGTGGGCGGGGTCAATCACCAGAGACCATATAGCCACACACACACACACACACACTGAAAGTGCAAACTGTCAGAGTGAAAGTTTAAAATTCAAATCTTGTCGACAATGAACACAAAAACATTCAACTGTCACTTTACTCTGCTTCATAACTGAACAGTCACGTTTACACTCGTACTTTCTCTCCTCGCCCTCTCTTCTCCACTACACCAGTGGTATTACTGTCTCTGATGTGGTCTCTCACCTCATCTTACCTTCTTTCTCTTTAACTTTTTTTCTTTGACACTGTTTCTTCTTTTCCTCTTATGTCTTTACACGCTCTCACCTTTCGTCCTCTTTGCATCTTTCCTTGCCTCTGCTTTTTTTTTTTACTTACTCAGTTCCTCCTCTCCTTGTCATTCCTTTTCTCTCTTTCCTCTACCATTTTTCATTCTTCTACTTTCTCCTTTACTCTCCTCCTATTTTCTGTCATTTCTTCTCTTATGCCCTCCCCTCAGTATACTTTCCATTTTCCTGCTCTCTTTTGCCTTTTTCTCCTTGATCCTTAATAGAAACCAGATTTTTGTAGCAGTACTTCACAGAACCATTTACGAATGTATTTAAAGTAGTGCCATTAAAGAAAGATTTTTAAATGGATCAAACATACAAACAAATGGTGCAACATAGTCAAACTGTCCTTCTAGTAAAGTGAGTTTTAAGAAATGATTCAAAGATGCTACTAACAGATTGGTATTATTTTTTGCTGTCCCGTCCAGGTGAGCAGAAGCGTTACCAGGTGGTGATCCATGGTATCGAGCCACTGCTGGAGACTCCTCTGCAGTGGCTCAGCGAACACCTCAGCCATCCCGACAATTTCCTGCACATCTGCATCATCCCTGTCCCCAGTGACTGATTCCAGACCTACCCCGCCATCGCTGTCACCGTGACAACTGATCGACCGACCAGCCTGCCCACCAGCCAGCTAGATGTCACCGGAGATGGTGGCGCTTCACAGTGGAAACTCTTAGCTAACAGACTCTTGAAGGAGATAACAAATGAACAAAAGATGTGAAGGAGGTATTTAACAAACCTCCTCTTCCATCTTATTGTCTGTTTCTACTCGTTGTACCACAACTACTGCTCCTGTTTTCATCCTCAAGTCCTATAAACAGGTTGTCTGAGGGGAAAGCATCTTTCTCTTCTGCTCCCAAATGAAGAGACATTTTTACTAGTAAAGGGATCTCTAATTTTCTTCTCTGCTGTCTTGTATCTTTACCTCCTCCTCCTCTATTTTGCTCTGAACAAGCAAACATCTCCACGGGAGGAGAGAAGGTGAACAGATCCTTCATTTTTTCTGCCCCGACTTGTCCAAGACAAAGACTGTTCTGTCGACAGGGAGACAAGTTTGTCTGGGCAGTGGTGTACCCAGTCCTGCAGAAGTTGCCTTAGTTACTACATTTGTGTATTTGTATCCTTACTGGCTTTGCAATAATGTTTGAACATAGACAGACTTACCCTGAGTTTACTTCACAGTGTGCAAACATCTCCAGAAACTCTCCTGGTAGTGGTTGGATTTCTCAAATTAACAATTTTTTTGGCTTCATTTGACAAAGTGAGCGTGAGTAAGGAGACAGCAAGCTGCTGTGGAGGTGTGAGGGCAGTGACCAGTGGTCCCAGTACACACAGGAGCTGGTCTGCACTGAGCACCTTCTCCAGTCTCTGAATCGGCATCAAGAGGAATTTCAGTTGCATACAACTTCAGTCTAACTTTAAGCAGCAGTTAATAATAAGGTGAAATTCTCTTTAACCCTTAAAACCAAACAGATAATGTCAAAATGAGGTGGTGTTTAAACTGAAGTTCTCTTTTTGACTTGTTTTGTTGTTTACTGCAGATAATAGATATGGGGTTTTCACTGGGTAATTTCGAGAGTCATCAAGCTGTTGATGAGGCAACACATTTTGTGCAGGAGTCATGGACAAGAAAACTTTTACATGTTTTCAGTAGCAGGTGTTGATTTGGCTCCACACTGTTCGACTGGGTTACTGTCATGTTCAGCTCCACCCTGGTTGTCTGCTGCTACCAAACTTAAACGAGCATCTGGTTTTGTTTCATTTTAAGAGCTTGGGTAATGAGACAGCAGGCTAGATTAGCATCAAGTCTGCAGGCTGGTTTGACTTGTCCTACATGTGCTCTCCATGCCAAATCACACAACACTGTCTGTACGGTAGCCTCGCCCCGACTGGATCACTTTGCTCCCTGTTGAGATCACAATGAATCAGTCATCATTCTTTGTTTACATTGTGCATCAGCATCTCGTCTTTATTTTGTTTTGTTTTGGTTTTTTTTACATCTGTTCACACTGAAATAAAATTGCATTAAAGCGCCCATCTGACATGTTTATCCAGAATGACTTCAAATAAAAGTGACTTCATTGAGACTTTTCACTGATTGTGAATACAAAACCTGCACATTATGTGTTTTAAATATACTTTTTACAGCACCCCTCTGAGAATAGTGAAGCCTGAATACAGTTTTTTACTCATTGTGACTTTATCTACTCAGCCAAAACACATTCCAAGTTACAGTACTTTTGGCTCAGCTGAGTGGGACAACTCTTCAGATTCTTTTATTTTTTTAGCACCATTAAGTATAAAATGTTGGCTCTTCAAGTTTTGGTCTTTTCATGAGATTACTTGCTAAGAGAAATACACCACTACCCTAATCATTTAAAGAGCATCCTTCACATGAGTTTATTCCTCCCTGGTTCAGAGGATAGTGTTGGTCTGGAGCTCTGCCAAGTAGTAGAAGTGTCTGACTGGGTTTTTGGGTTGGAACCATGAGAGGTGACGGCATCAGCTTCCCTCACCCTCCCTTTATTCAACTCATTAAAAAAAAACAATACCCTCTTTGGCTTATGTATTTCACTGCACTCAGCCTCCCTCTCTCTCTTCATCTCTCCTGGTTATTATCTGTTGGCGTTCCAGCTGCTGCGAGTGAGACCACTAAACTGGCCTGTGAGACAGGCCTCAGGCTGCTTCATCACTCTGAGCGAGCTCAGCTTCACAGAACTAAACTGCACAGTGTGCGTGCGTGATTAGTGTGTACATGATTACAGACATCGTTTATAGCCCACACAGGTCTGTGTGTGTATGAAGACATCCATTGGAATTCTGCATGTCTTTTTTTTCCCCACACACTCGTCTCTTGTCACACCACCACTCTGCTCATTTAAAGTGTGTTGTGTGTGTGTAATGTCATCATGTCAGACTTTCTCACCACTGTTGCTGCTGCCAAGCATGATGAGAAAGTGGGTTTATGGTGCTAGGTCGAGGCCTGGGGCTCAGCATGGGGTACAGTATGTGTTTGTTCACATGGGTGTTAATCTGTCTTATGACACACACTTTTATGGGGTTTACAGAGGCTGCTGTCTGACCACACCATGAGGAGAGAGAGCACAGAGAAGGCGAGGTGTTAGGATGAGATGAGTCAAATGCCAACTGTTAGTAGAGCTTCCTTTCCAACATTTTTTTTTTCCCTGAATCAAAAGTTTGCTTCTGTTTTTTCCATCTACGGGGTTAGGGTGACACGGTGGAGCAGTGGTTAGCAGCATCACCTCACAGCAAGAAGGTTCTGGATTTGAGTTTGTGTCTGCATGTGTGCCCGTGTGGATTTACTCTTCCACCCGCAGCCCAAAGACATGCAGGTTAGGTTGAATGTGAGTGGTCGTCTGTCTTTGTGTGTCAGTCTTATCACAGACTGGTGACCTGTCCAGGTGTACCTCGCCTCTCACCCCATGTCAGCTGGGATCAGCTCCAGCCTCCCATGACCCTCTACAGGATAGGTAGTATAGATTATGGATGGACGGGTGTCTGTTTTATCAGATGGAGCAGTTTGTAGCAACAAAGAACAAACAGAATTAGGGTGGCTCCGGCTTCCTCCCATCATGCTTTTGTAAGTCAGTAGTTCCTAAACTAGAAATTAGGCCCCCCCACCTCCTTTTATTTAGTCCTGTCCTGAACTAGTGACCTTCCAAGCACACTTCTCTAAACTTTTGCTTCATGACTGTTCCAGATCCTGAAAATGTACGTTCATTACTAGCTTGATGTGGTCCACCATTTTCCCTCAGTGTTTGAATAGTTACGGTTGTTTCACTCACTGGTTTGGAGTGTGAAGATGGAAAGACATGATGCCACTCATTTCTGTCCACCAATCAGGGTTCAGCAAACTGTTTGCTCATGTTATATGTTCTTTGTCAGTCAAATTCGATCAAACTACGCCCTGACTAGGCAGATTTTTAGAGGTAAAATCTTAATAAAAAATAACAATGTTTTTCTGAGTTTAACTTTCTTTGTTTTAGTCTGGAATATTTAGTTGGAAGTTTTTCAGGAGGCTTCAGGTCACTGCTGCCTGATTTACTTTCCTCTAATTAGAAGGATTATAACAAGTATTAAAACCATATTTTAAAAATGCATGTTGTTGTATTATGTAACATGCCGTATGTGTTTCTAATAGGTTTTGGACAATACTGTTATCTAAGCTTCATCTTAAATATATCATGAGGGATTAAACAAGACAGGGCACAGCTGATTAGTTTTCCTCAGCCGTTTGTGTCTCCATACCACTCCTCTGTTCCAGTAAGAGGCAAAACATTACTGGACATCTGATTTCCAACAGATTTCATGAAATCATTGTCACACACACACTTTTACCATCAGCTCATACCACAAACTATGCCCTCCATCCCTCCTCAGTCCCCTACTGTCCTCCCTGCTACAGGGAAACCACAGCCTCACACACCTTCTTCGGCTTATAAAGCATTTCTGGGGGTAGTGGCACTCGGCTGTGTCTCTGACTACAGAGCAGAGAGCAAGAAGATCAACAGATGAAAGTGATTAGCGATGAAGAGGAAGCCATGAGTGTGTTCCCCCTCTGAAGCTGCACACACACAAGAATTTTTTTTTCAGACTGCGAGAGTGTGTACCTGCTAAAAAGCAGCACAGCCACAGTGAGAGAGGAGACAAATCCAGTGTGTGTCCAAATTAAATGTCTATTGTCCCTCCTTCTCTTTTGTGTTTTCATTCTTTCTTGAAAAAAAAAAGCAGCACCAACCCCCCACCCCCCACCCCATGCATGCAAAACTCACCCCTTTGCAAAGAAACCACTAAACCACACAACTTCCCCCCCAGCCTCACATCACCCTGCAAAAATAAACTACAGTACATATCCAAAACCTTGTACCCGTTTGTTGACCAGCTCATTCGCAAACCACTGACATTAATCTACTTCCACTCTTTCGATTTCTAACACCGCCCCCCCCCCAAACACAAACACACACACACACAAACACTCAATCGGGGGTCTCACTGATCACAAAAACAAAACAACAGAAATGTTCCTGGAGGGGTTCTCTTGTTTCCAGTCATCCTCTGTCTCACACACTGACACACCTGTTATTAACTCTGCTGCCTTCTAATAGGCAGGTGCTGCAGAGAGAGAGATGGACAGACACAGAGAGAAAAAATGACAGGAGGATGTGGATGATAGGGGCTGGAGGCCTATAACACTTTGATCTCTGTCTCTCTCTCTCTCTCTCAGCGCACAGGCACACACACTATTATTAATAAGCAACGTGTGTCCCCTTCTGCCTGTAGCCTCGGGGTCAGTGCATCACATTTGCTGCTTTTGTGTGGCTTCTGACTGGCTGCTATTATTTGTCACATGCTGGTCTCGTTGAAGGCCATGGAAGTGCAATTTTGGCTGAAATGTTTTTGCTGACTCACTCTGCAGTACTGAGTTTTACAAAGATGTCCGTACCTGAGGGTGGGCTCAGGTCCAGCTTTCAGACATGCACTCCTTTCCATTAATCAGACAGCGTCTGAATGTTTCAGCTTGGCAGGTCTGAATGAGCACCCTGATTGAGACGGCAGTGTTAATAGGTCGGACCTAGTAACATTTATGCATCACATTCAACACAGCACAAGTCTGAACTGCATGCAGTCACATTAATAGATAGACCCATACAAGATTATGGTGATCTTGTCTGAATGAAACAGTTGAACAATAATGTAAAAGTAAAAGTGACCTATGACAGAAAGCAAATTGAGCAATGTTACATATTCTATGTCTGAAAATGGCTTTAAATTCCTGTGAACGTTCTGTAAAGTTGTGATTGGACCTCCAAAATAAGGGATTTATTAGCTATTTGTTTGCAATGTTAGTATACTAAATACACAATATATGATGGTAATACACTTCCCTGAAGCCATCATAACCATCATACATTAGGATTCTGGGAAGATCACTACAGTACGAAGAGTTTCTTTTAAACAATGCTATATTCATGCATTTAATTACCATTATTTTTAAAATGATACCACCACACACACTTTGAACACAGCAGCACAGAAGCAAGCATTTTTTCCATATATGCTTAACACATATGTTAAGTATTTCTTTTATGCTGCGTGACTACATTTTATTTCACTCATTATTAGGATGAACTCGTTTTCTGGAATGATTGTGGTGAAGGTAACATCACAACTCATTTAAGAAAAAGAGGGGGACACAGAACTTAAAAGAAGTTTATTTTTACCTAAATAAAAGAGAAAATACATAACAAACTGAAGTGAAAACATGTAAGGAGGCCTCTATGCAACATCACTGTTGTGAGTGATACATGAGTGAGTTGAAAATTTGCTCAGAAACAAAGAAACCAAACCAAACAAAAGCCAGAGGGACAGTGGCTGTTGGCTTAAGTATGATCAGACCAGGTGAGCTGAATCGCCCTGATGACCTGACTCCAAACACCTGCACAGAAAGCCTGTCCATGAGGGTCACCACAGTACACCAAGCTATAAAACGTTCATATTAATACAGTATGTATAATGTGCAGTGTTTGTGCATTTGTGCAGCAGAAAGATAAAAATGATCACCACTGTTCACAGACATTTAGGGGCACACAAAATCCTGTTCACTGTAAAACAGCAGTTAGTAAGTAGCAGCCTCCAGAGGTCAACAGTAACTATTAAAATGAGGGCTGACAAATATCTCATGACTTCAACCCTGTCACAGACACACACTCGTCCTGCGCTCAGCAACCATAGAACCACCCTCTGTGATCTAGTCAGCATGGCGCAGACATGGCCACCAGCAACAGGAGTGCTGGTGTGTAAGACCCGTGAATGGTCTGTGGCCTGAAGATGAAGAGAAGATGAACACAGCTCTATGTGTGTGGCGATTCTGGAGGTGGCAGGGGACGCTAAGATGGCTGCTTTCTGCTGAGTCACCACAGTCGCACATATGTGTGTGAGGCAAAATTAACAAGGAAGTGTTACAAACTGCAGAGTGGGTTCTAAACTGGTCTCTGGTCTGTGGCTTTAGACTTGTCCTTTTCACAGACATGAAACTGAGTTTAAATTAAGTTCTGGAATACCCCAGACAGCAGTCCACATCTTGTGTTTACTTTCCTTCTGACTCAGAGATCCGCCTGAAAAATGACTTTAACTGAATGCGTGTTTATTCTGAGCTACGACGAACAAAAGATGAAAGGCTTCGATGCCTCATGGATGATGTTTTGGTCAGATTTACAGTTGAAATAAAAAGTAATGAAACTGTTTGCAATTTCCTGGTTTTCTGCATGAGTTGGTCATGAAATGTAATCTTCACCAAAGTCACAAATATCAACAAACACAATATTTCTAAGCTGATAAAACACAAACTGTCCTGATCTTTCATGTCTTTATTGAACCCATCCGTTAAACATACAAAGTGATGGTGGAAAAAGTCATTGCAGCAGTGTTTTAATAACTGGTTGAACCACCTCTGGCAGCAATAACCTCAAGCCAACGCTTCCTGTAGCTGTGGATCAGACCTGCACAACGTTCAGGGGGAATTCTGGATCATTCTGCCTCACTGAGCTGCTTCAGCTCAGCCATATTCTTAGAACGTCTGGTGTGAACATCTTGAGGTCATTCCACAGCATCTCTATTGGGTTGAGCTCTGACTGGGCTGCTCCAACAGGCAGGTTTTGTGTCTCTGAAGTCACTGTACAGTAGATTTACTTTGATGTTTAGGGTCATTGTCCTGCTGCATCAACCAGCTTGTTCTGAGCTTCAGCTGGCGACAGCC